TTGATATAGCGCCTTTAAAGGTGGCTCAAAGTGTTTTACAGAAAAAAACATAACAACAACTAATAAAAAAGCACCATGAGAGGGGTGAGCCTGTTTAGTTGAGCAAAGCAGATGTGAATTAATTTTTTGAGCCTTGATACAATTCACAACAGAGTCTAACAGATATTAAATCGTTAGGCATTTTCTTGGCGGCAAAGGTCTCGCGGTGGATGTTGTAATGCGTACATTAATTTCTACACCGTTATGTCGGCTTGTCATTGCTCTAGCACCAACTGTACAAACTCAGACGCATTTTATCCAGTCGAGGCCATTCTCTTCAATAAATTCATTCAGAAGCTGAAATATGTGCTCTCCTGTAGTTTCTGTTGGTAGCGGTTTACAGAACAGAAAGTGTTCATGGGACATGCCCTCAAATTCGTATCTAACGTAAACAAGCAAATTGGCCAAATAGACTACAGACTCATGTAATTGCAGTGAAAAACATCTGCTCATCTTAATGTGCTCTATCAGTGTACTTTTGATATAATCCTTCATTTCAATAATTCTATGAATGACTGTGTCTTTCAGGGGGAGGGGGGCAGCAGTTCGAGCTGTTTAGCAGCTTTTTCTCTACTCTTTTGCCAACGGTAAATAAGGTTCTTCAAAAATAGTGTAGCTTACCTGCTTTAGCAATCCGCAAGCTTGCATTTTTCCGCGTTTCAGTTTTTATTTCCGTATTTATTTAAAGTTTTTATTTCATGCGCATGGGAGCGAAACAGAGACGCTCGGTGTATTTTTCTCAAATTAGAACAGTTCTTAAATATTTTTCTGTTATCACTCTTTCGTGTGCTCACAAGATTACCTGCGTTTTTAGCACGTATTTCTATGCATTCCTGTGTTTACAACGTTGGCATTGTTCCAAAATCACGCACATTCTCCTTTCTCCCTATTTGCTGGAGATACAGTAGCTTTTTTTAAATACAATTGGTCAATTGCATTCGTAGCACGCATTCCTATAGAGTGGTATAGAATTAAAGAGTATTTCTTGTGTCCACTGAAGTATTAGCGCGCACTGTATCGTAGTACGTAGGCTGCGTATTCGACACGTATTAAAATACAAAATATGAAAACCCTTCCCGATTTTTCAGCGCACACGATACAGTTCCAGGGTCATTTGGCGTACCACTTGGCAGCACTCCACATACCACTGCCGGTACGCGTACCACAGTTTGAGAACCACTGGACTACTGTATTTGCTTCAAACGGATATCTAAGTACGGTAGCCTACATCTTAACAAAGCGACTCCCAACTACTATATATATGTAATAGTTTTGGCATGTGCCTGATTTAGGAAGCTCGTTCAATTATTTAGCCTCAGTATAATTGACAAAATGTACAGAAGATTTTCAAAGCAACAATCAGACTAAAGAGCATGACAGGGAATAAGATAATCAAAGATAAGATCTTCCTTATACCATTGTTTGACAGAAACACTTAAGGAAGGCTAAAGCCTGTCACACTATATGACTCATCACGACTTCTAGTCGGAGAGCATGTCAAATTTAACGACTGCAGTTGCTGAATCTCGCTGCCTTTTCTGTCCTAGAGGGTGTCAAATTATATGACTAGGAATCGCAGGGGGTGACTACACGATTGCCACACGACCTTTCATCACGGTTCCAAATCTTGTATTGCGCCACGAAAGTACCACGAGATCGCCTCATTTTGGCAGCCAATCAACATGGAGCATACCGGAATCAGAGGAGGAGCACCGCACGAAAGTAAACCAACAAACACTCATGCAATAATGGACAGACATCAGTGCTGGCTCCAAAATTTGATGAGCCTCTCCTCCATTTGCACAGTCCAAAACACTCGCTTTCCTTTTTTCCTTGCAAACGCATTGTATGTAACTGTACTTCCGGTTGAGCACTCATTGGCTGTTGACTGTCGCAGACACAAGATCCCAAGATCCCACCCTTACGACTTGCGAATCGCTACGGAAAAAATCAAACCTGTTTGATTTTATCAAAGCAAGTCGCAGAGAGTCGTAGGGGCTATTAAGAGCACTATGACTGAGCCGCTGGGGGTGTCACACTATACAACTGACGGTAACGGGCACACGCGCTGCGACTCTCTACAACTCACTGTGATTTTCTTACGATTATGTAAAACAAATGATGCCGGCATAAGGAAAGGGCATTTAGTAATCAGGGGGGAAAAAATCTGCCAAACCAAAGAGTGCGTTACCCCTAAAACGATGCAGACATAGGTATATATTTTGTAGAAAAAAGTCAACTTAAATTTGTCAGGGTTCCACCCCAGTTTCCAGGTCTGTCCTTTCCCAGTTCTGGCAATAAAGTTAATGGTTTACAAGCTTTTATTTTGTCATAATGCAGTTGTAAAAGGTGGAGTTGAAACTCATAAGCAGTAAACCATGTGTGCTACAATAAAGCACTCTCTATTCTGGAAGACGGACATCATAGAGGGCCCTCCTCAGCAGGACTATTCATCCGCCGGATCGCGGGCTTCACCACTGGCACAATGAGATGCAATCTCATTAATCTGAGTCCTCAAAGTCAGTCTGAATACTACAGAAGGACAGAAGGATATGAACCAGAGGTTTGCCTTCTAACACTTCCAGATTTTGTTCAAAGCAGGGATCTAGTTTTCCTTAAAAATGTTCTAAAACCTATACCCCCCCCCCACAGGTCTAGACTCATTGGTGAGAAACACTAAGAATCTTTACCAGAGATCTCAACGAATTAGAAAACTAGTTTAAATCTTCCTAGAAAGGAGAAAATAGTTAGCTGCATGGTACAGGGCCGGCTAATTACAGGTTTTCTTCCAGCCAACACATTTTCATGGGATGGAATCCTTCTTAGCAGACATGCACCATCTGCCACTGACACAGGATCACTGTGGCATTATCCCATCATGATTAGGCCGACTTGCACTTCTCTAGCCTGGTCTCATAGCTTTAGCCAATTTAGATCCATTAGGCCTTGGCTGGGCCTCAGGACTCCACAGCGCACGGTGTGGCAGGACATTGATAAGCTCGCCAGGGCCAGTCTACTCAGTCTTTCAGAAGAGAGGAGAGACACTGAAACAAGCACATCTTTTTCTTTACGGAACTGCAGTGCATTTTGTGCCTCTTTAAGCTGACACTCACGTCACAGAATGAACATTTCTTTGTATTCCTCGTCTGGTAAAATTATATAATGCATTAGTAAGGCCTCAATGTGAATATTGTGTACCATTTATGTCACCATGTTACAGAAAAGATATTGCCGCTCTGGAATTAGTCCAGAGAACAGCAACCAGATACATTTTGCGGGCTGAAGAGAATGTCCGAAATTGACAAGCTGAAGGAACTGAACCTTTTAATTCCTGAACAGAGAAGACTATAAGGGAAAGTAATTCAAGTATTTAAAATCCTCAAAGGCACTGAAAAAGTCAACCCAGCAGATTTCTTCAGAATGAACATCTGGTTTCACACGAAAAAGAGGACACATTTGGAAACTTTGTGGAAAAGGATTAAGAACTGAGAACAGGAGACAATTCTTGATGTAAAAGGTTGGGGAAGTAGGGAACAAAAGATGGTCAAATGGCCTCCTCACTTTTATAACTATTCTTACTAACTTCAGTTTCCCTTCAAGCACAGTAGTCTATGTAAATCCCACTGCATCAGACAAGAATCAATATTCAGGCTCTCTGTTCATCTGTTATTGAAACATTCAAAAGATACAGTAAGGTAAGTCTGCACAGACGAAGAAAGGAGTTCAGTTTGCTTAAAAGAGATTTTATTCTTTTCTTTTTGGTTTACATAGTTTTTCTTTTGTTTTGATGTGAAAGCTTTCTACAGCTCTACAAAGAAACATAGCTTGGCAACATCTTTATAAGGCAGACAAGTCTTGATGTACAGTGGCTCTGTGCTGCTCACTTTCTGCTGTAGCCTGGAGGCTACAGCAAGCAAAATTTTCACCTTCCACATTGGCCTACTAAGGTTAGGCAATCCTGCTCCGGGAAGGTTTTCTAAGTCTCTCCAAAGCAGCAGTTTTATTAAGGTGTTACAATTAAACCGACTGCGGTTGCTAATAGCTAAACTGCTATGAAGCTTGCGGACATTGGCTCTACAAGACCAAAACTGGCTAGCCCCAGTACAAAAAGGTTTAAGTAGCCACCTATCCCAAAGTCCCTCTGAAAAAGTTAAATCAGAATGTTGTAATCATATTTGGCCACTTGAACCATCACTCTTATTTCACTGAAGTACAAGAGTCAGAGGATTTATTTCAGGATTTCAGTGGACAGCAGTGCTTTTACGTTTCAGTATGACAGAACCATAGATACTGTAGTTCAGTAAGACTTTTCACTTGGGTGAGTTTAACAAACCTACTGTGACAGCTAACTTAGAACAAGGAGCACACACAACAATGCATACATTACAGTCAGAGCTAACATGGCTTTTTGTACACCACACTTTTAATCTATTACTTGAAAGAACAACAAGCTTTTGAACAACATTTGTATCAGATCAATATTAGCAACTTATATTCAATATCATGTAATGTAAAAAAAAACCTAGACAGTAACTTGGAAAACACAATTCAAAATTATCTCAATTTATCTTTATACTGACACAAAACATAAATATTTTTTATTTGAAAGAAAACATTTAAGGAACAGCAGATCACACCAACAGATGTAGAATGTTAATGTCTTAGTCTCATTACTCTCAAATATAGATCTGTACAATGTCAAAGATGTATATAACTTTAAGCCTGTTTTCAATCCCATAACACAAAGCTATTTGCCATTTTGACACTGGCAGGGCAGATATTTTCAAGACTAATTTGTTTAAAGCACAAACCTGCATTACCACTAATTAGTGTAATAACCTGGCCATTTTATTTGAAATGAATTGTCAAGGCACATTTACAGCAGTTGCTCTGGACTAAACTTTTCTATACGTTATGCCAGCGAAAAGCAAAATGCTGATGGATTTATGAGAATTTAATACCTTGTCATTTATGAACCAGCTTCTCTGAAGTCCAGTTTGGGGGCCAGATGAATCCAAGAACAGCAAGTGAAAACTGTGGAGAAACATTGTGAAGAAAATAAAAATGAGAAAAGAAAAACTTGCATTCTGTTACAGTTGGATTCTCTATCACATATATCACATAATACAGACAGAACCCAAATCCTGTACTGCCTTTGATGAATTGCATAAGGACAACTGCCTTTTAATATAACAACACAGCAATACTACCATCATAAATAAAACAGGAACTTTGCTACAATTATTTGACTTGTATGACTCTAATAATCAAATGATAAAATTCAGGAAATGCTGTAACAGACTGTGTTTTGTCCATTAGCAAAAATGTCGATCAACCCGGGACTAGGCCTGTGTGAAAGTAGGGTTTGAAGATGGTTCTTGTTTGGCCTATAGCCAGATTTATTGTGGTAAAATAATGTTGGACAATGGTTTTTCCGTGCCGCTAGACTGCCTACAGGAAAAAGGAATCATATTTCCATAGTCTGTCAAAAAAAAAAAAGGTTCTTTGTGTACCATTGCTCAGATTCTCAATGACTGACGGAGAGAAGAGGCCCGTGATGAAACTTTCTATTTGCAAGAAGAAAGTGGTCGAGAAATTCTATCTTTAACGGAATTATAATTGCTAATCAGTCACAGAAATATAGCCCGCCCTTTGTCATCTTCCAGAGCCTTAGAGATTAGCCATCTGCCATTCAGTATTTATGGATTCATTCTAGCTCAGAAACACTTAAAGGATTCTACTCCCCTATAGCACTGAGAAGGATGTTGTTAATTTTAAAACCAGCACGCTCACGCTGATTAAACTTTGCACTCATTTTCCAAAAATTGATTTTATATTTGGAAGGAAAAACACATACTATAGTTCACTAATAATGTACTGTGTCAAGTACTACTTAAAAAGTTTAGGACTTATTTAATTAAACAGGAGAGGCAGACAGCTGACACACAAATTAACTTAGCTTGACAGTTTTTATTTAGGGCTTCTTTAATTGCTTAACCAGTACGGGCACGTGGCTCAACGCACAAGTGCCAGACGTCATCAGTTCAAGTAATAGGTTTATTCCATGCTGAAAAAAAGAAGAAAGAGAACACAACGTTTCGGCCGTGGAGCCTTCTTCAGGTGTGAGAGAGACAGGGCAGTAGGCAAAGGTAAAGTAGCGGGAGAACAAAGGTTGGAATGGAGGAGGAGTGAGAGGCGGGAGCAGGGGACAGAAAGAGAGGCCAATCAAGAGGTGTGAAGCCAGAATGGCTGCAGAGAGGTGTGAAATGAAACTTCCAATGAATGGAGAAAATTTAAAAGAACAGTAATCTGTCGTTAAGGGAAGGGAGAATGTGTGATCCTAACTGCAGAATAATTTTAGTTTCGGTGGTCTTTCTGATGTATGAGTTCGGAAAACCGTCATCAGTTCAAGCCTCAGTCAAGGCACCAGTTGGGCGGGACCGAGACTATCCTAGTGAAAATTCACAGGAGGCTATTCAAGCACCACAGCTGTAGTGATGGAATTAATCTAGGTTCTCCCAGCTCTCATAAACCAGCTGTGAAGTCCACTCTGATTTGCACTAATTGTCAAATGATGAATGGCTGAGCAGGTGGGTATGTTTTCAGATCTCTCCCGAGTGGGTACAGGAATCACCGCCACACAGCCTGGCTGTAAAACAACTGGCCATTTCAAACTGGGAGGACATATAATAAGACAAATCCCAATCTTCCTGAGTAAGAACTTAACATCTAGAGTAGGCACTTGGGTCAATTACTGAAAGTCCTACTGCTCTGCTCAGGAGTCTCTTCAAGCTTTAAAACCTTAATGGTCCCTGAAATATTCATTAATTGATTTAACAAAAACGTAGGATGTAAAAATGCCCAAAGAAATGAATTCTGCACATATCGGGGCCCCATCTTAAAAAACTCATCTGTTTTGCACTGATTAGGTGTGAATTATCATTAGGACCAGGTGTCCGGCCTTCATCCCCTACACAAAATATGACTCCTAATTACAACAGGCAAATGTGAGTTTCAAAACCAAACTGCCAAATACGAGGATCCAGATTTCTGCAAATATTCTCTCTCGTGTTCTACTGAGAGTAATCAAAGTAAACCCGGAACACTTGTGATACCCGATCAATTTTCATCTTGATCAACAAGCTGAGGAAGTACAAGAAGGACTGAACTTGCAAGGAAAGCAGGGAGCTCAGACACAGACTCACCAGACAGAAGGAAAGACTTGCCGTGTGCTGTGGGAATACCCAGCCATAGAAGTGCTGTTTTAAAACTATACTACAGGAGGACCAGAGGGCTAATAGAGTTTTCTTTCCGCCTGAACCCTTATTACCAATCTGAGCCCATGGCGTGTTTAATGAGAAGTTTGTCCTTGTTCTTAACAAGCTGAAGACTTCCAGAGACCTATAAAAACAGCCACCCTACAGAACCAGAGTTGGATATTCCTCCCTATTTGAGAGTCTGTTACTCTGGCCTCGAATTATTCTGTACATTTATATCATGTATCCCACAAGTATGTCTTTGGGCTCTGCTATATCATTTTCTTATTCCCAATGCCTGTATGCCAAGGTTTCTATACCTAACTACCATTGTGAAATGCACACAGGTAGATAACAAAGCTCTATTTACAACAAAAATAAAAGAGGTGAAGAACACTCAGGCTTCAACTTATAAAGCATAAGGCATTTCATTTATTACTGTTGTAAATAACCCATGTAAAATATGAAGCATCAAGGAGGAGTAACAAAAAAACCCTGGTTAGGTCATACAAAATCTAAAGGTATAGCTGGAGGACAGGAAATCGATTGCACTGCTTTTGCATTTAATAGCCTACCCTTTCTGGAACAATAAAAACATGCCATTTCCACCAACCCACCAAGGTAAGTCGCCAAACAAAAAAAAATCCAAAAAGCAAAAGGGCAGTCCACAGCAAATTGTTTCCATAGTTTTACAACTCAAATGAGAATAGTTTTCTCTGAGCTTCATCTGTTTCTTGGCCTTTCCCATAAGAATGTGTACTTTCCTCAGTCAGTACCACGTTTTTCATCTGGCACCAGCAACCACAAAGTGTACCATTACAGCATAATGCTATATTATTCACTTGCCTTTCCAAAAGACTTCTGTAAGGAGTGGCAACTCCATCTCCCAATATTTGTTTTCATGAAACCACTTAGTTTCATATAGAACACATAACAGACTGGGCTTACTTTAGATGTCCAAAATGTGTTCGAGTAGAGAATGCATGCATAAAATGGCCTTTGATGTTATTTAAAAAGCAATAGCCCTGCTCTAGCACATACGTGGCATTCCTCTTCTTGCCTACTGCCTAAAAAAATACTGTTGGCCCACAAGGCAAAACGATATGTTCGCTTTATTGATCGGAACCTGTCAGCAGGAAGCTGCGCAGAAACTAGATGGATTACCGTGAATCACTCCCTGCACAGCGCATGATTTACAAAACTGTCCCCAAAATGTCATTTCAGGTTGGCCTCCATGCTTCTCGCCCTGTCCTAAATCACAGCAGGACCCTTTTTTTTTTTTAAGATGCGGCTCAAAAGTAAAGTATGAATCTGAACATGACAGGCAATCCGCATAGCGTCTACGCCTGCAATCGCTATTGAACTCCTCTATGGAAAGCAATTAACCCCGTGCGTCAGCCAATTTCTTGAGGAGGCACAGCTGGATAATGAAAAACAACGATTAGCAAGACAGAAAGACTTCTTTAGCGCGCATTCGCACAACACGCATTTGGCTTCTAGCTCCGGCGCTGGTTTCTTTCTGCCCCAGTTCTTTTGATTTTTTTCCTCAAGTTTGTTAACGATTTACTGTCAACCACGCACAGAAGCAGCAAAAGACATAATAATGGGATTACTGTATTTGGTATTTTTTTCCCCTGTGGTATTACGTGAAGTGAATGCAGTGCAAGAGACTTAAGTTTTTCTGCTTGAATCAAACGGAGTCACGAGGTTACTAGCACACACAAACCCTTCTGATTACGATGAGACTCAGCCAGTGAGACACCGGAAAGAGCGTAGAATATAGCTTCCGCAGTACGCATTCACGGAAAGCTAAAGTTTATTTTAAGGAGCTCAGGCTAGATCTTAACCTAATCATTAAACAAGACAAAATTCCTTCCCGAAACACCTACAGCCTCCAGACCTAAGTAGAGCCTATCAAAAGCACATCATCACCTTCCCCCTACATCACAAAAATAAGCCTTGTTCTTTCATTTAGTATGTCTTACCAAAACACACTACCAATCAAAGAGTGCAAAACTACAATTAGTACAAAACTCTACCCTCTTTAACGCTAGCTTGAAGACATTCTAGGTTAATCAACAAATTTCCTTTAACGTTAATTGGTATAAAATAGGAGTCAGCTTTGATAAGTTGATTCAATTAAAACAAAACAAACCCCAATGGTGAAATGCAACAGCACTCTCATGATGTGCATACTGAAAGCACCCTATACCTGAACAGTCAAAATAATTGTAAGAAGCATAAAAGTATTGCATATTGAGTCAATAATACAATATGTATTACTGAATTTCTGTTTTTCACACCAAGACACCAGATCAAATTCCTTGTACAATATACTTGGGAAATAAAGAGATACTGATTCTATCAATATCTTATGGATGGATATAAAGTTGCTCTAAACTACCTTTACTCCGTTCTAATGTTATAGAGACCATGATCACTCTCAAGGTCTTTTATTTCTCTTCATGGTACTGCATGCAAGCCTTCAAACTTACAAATTGAAGGCTGTATGCCCTGTATTATGTACTGAATACTTGTATAAACAGATCAGGTTTATTTGAAAGCATGCGTTTGTTATTAAAAAGGCAGTGTGGTCTCATCCTTAAACCTTGACAGAATGCTTTTCCTTTATTGCACATTGTTCCACCTTGGACAACTGACTATAGGTCACTGAAGCATAAAAATCAATGTGCTTCAGGCCGTCTTGGCTCAGGCACAGGAATCATGAATGTTGAGATTTGAATTTTGGGAAAGTAAATTTCACCCAGGTAATTTATG